TACCCCGCTAGTTCGAACTAGCGGAGTAGTGTAGACATACCCTAACTTCCCTTTGCACAGATAAGCTATATTTCAGAAGGGTTGCTGCAAACTCCTAAATGATTTTACTTTGTCTCCCTGCAATATTCTCATCCATGTGAAAGAGAATTTGCTTTATGTCTCTGGGTTAACTGCATAATAGCCCTGTGGTGTGTATTATGCTTCCCAGCCTATTGACAAATGAAGTATTGGACAAGAACTTAACTAACCGGTATTTCCTTAACCTCCTGTCTTCAAGGCAAAGGTAATCAGATCTTTGTTGAAAATAGCAGTCAGGGATTACTTCATCTCTTTTCTTTATTTCATAACTTCTTGGTGCCAGCTGTGTCTGTGCATCCATTGCCAGCAGAAGAATCTGACTTCCAGGGTTATTAGCATCAGTTGAGCAATTAGATGTTTGAGCAGTGTTTTTTGCTTGCATCAGTAATAGAGTTGATGAAGTAGTTAGGGCTCCCAACACCATGCTTATGAAAGGTCATGTTTCACTTCTGCACATTTCTAATGTTCCTCTAATTTTATATAAGCCTGCCATGTTTGACTGTTCAAGACCATCATCTTTAATGACTCAAATCCCACTCTTTATGGCTGCATATTTTAGTCACTGTCCTAGCTGAAGAGGACTACACTCCCTTCTCCCCTGCCTCGATCCTGTAGTATTGCTTTATAATCTCTGTGAATTGACATTTTATATACATTTGTACATGCTTTTATATACATAAAGATTTTTATCCAGGCATTTCTATTATTATTTTTACATTTCTGAGTAAAATATTTTCCATAGCCACATATGCTCTTATGTGAATGCTGATAGTACTCTGTTTAAAAAAATAAACAACAAAACTTGGAAGTTCTAATGCTTTTGATCCTGAAAGCACTATATGAACACTTGTTAATTAATCAAAAAATCTTGTGTGAGGTAGGATTTGTTATCCCCTTTTACAGCTGGAAGAATGGTTTGCCTATAGTCCATGATGAAACAGGGCTTAGGATTTAGGAATGCGTGATACCCAGTCCTATGTTTATTTCTTTAGTGCACTCACTAGCCCTGATTGAAACAGTGGTCATCACCTGAGTTTTTCGATTACACAGGCAACTCTAATAACTCTTCTAGTTATAGTCTTCTAACCAAATGAAAAGAAAATTAAAAGAGTATAAAGTGACAAAACAAGTTCAGAGGTTCTTTGGCTTACGTTTGCCAAAGGCTGAGTTTTGTTATTGTAAATAAGATATTTGAACCAGATTCTCCTGAGGTACCTGTCCCGGTGACAATTCAGAGAAAGCAGAAAGCAGACTCATTTGACTATATGGGAATTCACCTATTGTAAAACTTAGGTTTGGGTCATGGAATGTCAGGCACTGAGTCTCATGGCTGCAGGATGATCAGGTGCTCAGCGGGGATGCCAAGGCAAGCTACCTGCTTCTTCTGGCACCACAAACTGTGCTGCACCCCAAAAGCAGCCAGCAGCAGGCCCAGTTCCTAGGTGGGGAGGGCGAGAGAGTGCACAGGGCTCTGCACACTGCCCCTGCCCGGAGCACTAGATTCCTACTCCCATTGCCCAGAAACCTGCTGCAGGCTGTTTCTGGGGTGCAGCATGGGCTGCAGTGCCAGGAGAGGCAGGAAGCCTGTCTTAGCACCCCTGCTGCTATGCTGACTGGGAGCAGCTGAAGGTAAGACCCTGCCCCACCTGATGCCCCCTCCAACCTGGAGCCTCTCCTATGTCCCAAACCTCTCATCCTCAGCCCCACCTTTGAGCTCACACTCTAGTCAAATTACGTTGGGTCGTGAGTGTGACGGATAGGAGTGCTGGCCTTTTCTGAACATCATGGCATTCAGCAACTAAAGGGTTAAACTCGGGTAGCTAGGGAGTGTTGTCAGGGAGCCAGGAGAGCCAATGGGAGAAGGTGTTGAGATTTGAATTGAAAGGGATACTTGCCCGCTGTTTTTGCTTTGTGTGAGTTTTAAGCCAAGAGTTGGGGGAACAAGATGAATTGAACCAGGCAGAACTACCATGTCTACAAAGAATACTAGACATGGAAATGGACTGGACCTTGAAGCATGGATTATAAGTAGATAGGGAAATGTCTATTTAGACACAATCGGTTATTTTCTTTGTTTTGTTGTTTGGTTAAACTTCTCAAGTGCTTTAAAACACTTAGCAACCAAGTATGCTTTCTCAAGTATATCTTTTGTTTTGTTAATAAAATCACCATTTTTAAGGCAGTGATTTGACTTTTGCGCCCTGGGAGGTAATAGGAGGTCTGAGTATGCGTGCGTAAGACTGAGAGGTCAGCTATCAGAGATTGCAGTTTGTTTTTGTTTTTTTCAAGCTCTCTTGTGGTAAAAGAGCTTGGGGGGTACCCCTCTGGAAGAAGTTCCAAGTGCTTCTTCCTGGGTTCAAAAAAGAAGGGTTTTTTTAGTTGATGGTGGCAGCTACCTCCCAAGACCGGGAATCTGACCTTGGGGAGCTTTTAAGCAGAAGCCTGTAGAGGCAAGGTATTTTAAGGTCTCTTGGAGTGCCAGAGTGGGGAACAGCTTTGACAACGGGCATCAACAATTTTGTTTAACTGGGTCATGAGAAAAAATGTTTGAAAACCACTGACCTAGTGTGTAGGAGATGTAGCATTGTCTGCATACCTCCCCTCTCTCCCTCCCACATTCCCTCCAGCATGTGTACCTATGCTCTCAAGTAGTAGGAGGGTAGAACAGCCTCAGACAGTAAGCCACAAAGGATCTCACCGTGAGACCACGGATTCAATATCACCCAAAACTTTATTATTACGAATTGAAAATGTAGTAGTAGCACATAAAGGCTTGGGCCCCCATTGTGCTAGACCACTGGTGCTCAAACTGTGAGTTAGAACTCCAAAACGGTTCTCAATCCCATTTTAAAAGGGTTTCCAGGATTGGTGTTAGACTTGCTAGAGACTGGGGCCAAAGCCTGGGCCTCCACCAGCTGAATCTGAAGCCAAAGCCCCCGTCTATTGTGGTGTGGCTCGGGCTTTGACTTTGCCCCTCCCCACCTGAGGTAGAGGGACACAGGCGGACTCCGGGTTTGGTCTCCCCACCTGGGGATATAGTAACTTTTATATCAGAAAGGGGTTGTGGTGCAATTAAGTTTGAGAACCCCTGTACTAGACACTGTACAATGAATCTCAGAGCCCCTAAGAGCTTTCAATCTAGCAAACAAGACAAAATAGATGGTGAAAAAAACAAGCAGGCTGGGGAAATAAAAATAATTGGATGTTCACAGTCCTTAGCCAACTCAAATACTACAGATACTGTGACAGAATTGGAGCTGCTCTGTCATAATTTATGAATACTGTATAGCGACCTAGTTGTGGAATGGTCACTGTAAGAATATTAAGGACAAAGTGGATGTGATAATATCTTGTACTGGTCCAAGAGACTGAAATACATTGGGATGTCTAAAGAAGTTATGCCTGCATAGATTGCCATTGAGGACGGTAAGCCTTTAGGTAAGGTAGACAAGCATGTCAACCATTTTCATGTCCTTTTTCTCTGAGTATTTTGTTCTCACAGTTTAAAATAAGCTGTAATGTTGTGTGAAGGATTGTTTTGTCACTTATTCACACTGGTCACACATTACTAAAGGGAAGAACTGCAGGCGCCAGAACGCATTCCGACTTGCTCAGTAAGCACAACTGGTGCATTGGTGCAAGTTTGGTCCAAAGTGGGAGAACTATGGAATTGCACCACAGGCCAGCTGAAGGCATCTTATGGGGTGAACTCCAAGAGATCAGAAGGGGAACAGAAGTGTAATAACCTAGTGACTGTGACACATACATAGCTAGAAAAATATAGATGTTTGCCACTGATTCCAGCTCAGGCCCTGTGCGATTCAGTCATTCACTTAACTGATGCTCACTTGTTATTCTGACACATAGTCCAGAAACAGCAGTGGCTCATAAACATCGTCTGGGACATTGCTGGATTTTTTTTTCTTACAGTATTAATAATATTCTTGCACTCAGCGGAGCCGACAGCCTGGTTGGACCCTGAACAGCACCTCAAGCAGTAGAGGTGGGGCTGGTCTTAGGCAGCCCTCAGTGCCAACCGGAGAGTGCTGTGCCTGCCCTAGGTGACCCTGAGAACTTGCCTGGGGCATGGCACTACAGCAGCAATTTACAGGGCCTGGGGCTCTAGGCCCCTTTGTATCACCAGGCCCCTAGGCAGTTGCCCCTTTTGCCTCTCCAGGGGGCGGGTCAGGGAAGTACTGGTTGTACTGCATTCAAGTTAACATTGTTTTTGCCTGGGAATGACAAATGACACTTGGGCAAACATTTCATATACTAGGCCAAATCTAACATTTCTTTATCTGCAGATGACTTAATTGCCTTAATAATCTATTGTACGTTCTTTGCTTTTGCCAGCGTTGTTGAGAATGGCCATTCGAAGTTGGCATCCTCAAGCACAGGAGAGAGACAATATATTACCATGATTCAGAAGAAGTTCTTAGGGTTTCATGTTTGGTGTATAACTGTCCTGTCTCCTGATTAATTATGTGATGTGCCATATTCACTCTGTACGAGTAAAATTTACTCTGTATGTGTACAGTTGTTGAAGCTCATAGTTTCAGAGTGTGTAAAGCACTATATTCTCTCAGATTGGGACAAAAAGTAGAGAATTCGTCATGTATCTGCTAAAAATACCAGGTGTTGATTAGTGGTCAGCTTTGAGAATCTTTTTGGAAAATCCCTCTGCAATGCCACTGCACTCAGATTCCTCTTAGCACTTAAACTGAGGAAAACCTATCGGAGAAGGGGAACCTGAGTTTGGAAGGAGGCAAAATATGACACAAGTTTAAAAAACAGAAAAAACTTGGCAACTACTATGACACCAAATTACTTAATAAAAACATATATTTTTTTATTCCCACCTATAAAAAAAAAAAGATTGGTAACATTTAGATTTAAGGACTTATTTTGTGCTTTGTGTGCAGGTATATGTCTCGAGTTCATGGGATGCATCCAAAAGAGACCACACGTCAGTTGAGCTTAGCAGTGAAGGATGGTCTTATAGTTGAAACCCTGACTGTGGGATGTAAGGGATCAAAAGCTGGTATTGAACAAGAAGGATACTGGTTGCCAGGAGATGAAATTGTGAGTATAATATCTAGAAGAAATTAAATCATGTTTCCTGGCATATTGATATGGAGTCTGTTTGAATTTCCATTACCAATTATTTATAGATGATCTATTGAGGTTGTAAAACAAGGAAGTGATATTTCACAAACATAGTTTTATTATTTAAATTTTACAGTGAAAAGTTGTAATTTTAAGTCCTCCCAGTTCGATAGAAATTCTTCCTTGTAGGGCTCTGCATGTGCTGCCAAGGAAAACAGTCTGTGGCTTTACACAGTTTCGGTCGTTTACTCCTCAGTGACATGGCTTCACCTCTCCTATGGTCATATGTGGAGATTTTCAACACAAACCTTACTGGTGTCACTTTGACTCAGCTGACATCTTCAGCTATCCGGAGTGATTCTTAAAGGAATATATATGTTTAAAGGATTATATTTTAAAGGGAGAGTGTTCATTTGAGGGTTTTTGAATCTGAGGAGAAAAGATTAACTCTTTTCAAAGAAGAGTTGTGTTTATAGACCATCCATTCCCAAAATAATAAAATAATAACAAAACCTGTATTAGCCAGACTGTTTTCAGACATTTGGTGTATCTGTTTTGGTACATTTTTAGCTATAAGCCTCCAAAAATTGATTCAGAAAGTATATATGGTAACTAAATCTAATTAATCAAGTTGACAGACTAGTCTGGTGTTCATAAAATTTCTAATTTCCTGCCAGAAAAATTGATACATTTTTAAAGAGAGGATGGTAAAGATGTAGGTGAAAATGTGAGATACATGCTGCTGTTTACTGTTTACTCTGAACATCTTTCTTTTAATTTCTTAGCAATGGAGTAGGTTAAAAATTACAAAAAGTCTCACAATTACCACTGTCTTCATTCAAACAATTCTGGTACTTCTGCTACTTCATTAGTAAACTAACAAAAACAGGACTCAGTTATACAACCCTCTCTCATACAAACTCATAATAGGTCACTGGAGTTTTAGATAGATGGTCTATCTCAGGGGTGGACAATAAAAAAAATGGCAGCCGACAGGGTTTGTTTCTGGCAGGCCACTGCCGCTACATTTACCTGTACTCTGCAGGTATTAGAGGATCGCAGCTCTGATTGGCTGCAAATTGAGATTCACAACCAATGCGAGTGGTGGAAAGCAGCGTGGACCAGAATGCCGCTTCCCACCACTTGCATTGGCCATGAACGGTGATTTGCAGCCAACAAGAGCTGCTATCTTCCGATACCTGCAGGGGCGCAGGTAAACATGGAGGTAGGGGCCCACCAGGGACTAACCTGCAGACTAGATCCAGCTAGTGGGCCAGAATTTGCCAACTCCTGCTCTGTCTCCACTGCAGAGTTAGGCAGGTTACGTAAGGGTCTTGTGTGTGGATGGGACTTGAATTAAGAGCAACAATCAGGTTGTCTCAACAGGAAATTAGCCGAAAAGAGAACTTGTAAGTAGCATATTAGTATAAAATTGAGCTATATACATTGGAAGAATGATACACAAACAGAACCATATTGATTTCTTTTCCATTCAAAATACAGAAAGTAAAATACATCTTAGACAAACAGATGTCAAAGTGGCAGATCGCATAAATTGCTTAACATCTAAATTCCACTGACATCATTAGAAACTGAGGACCTTCAGTTCTTGCAACATCAGATTCTAAGAGTATGTTTGCACTGTGATAGAAGTTCATGGAACAAGCAACAGCTGTCCTGACCAGTTGTGTCAGGTTCCTGGGGCTTGTGTTGTAAAGCGGTAAAATTGCAGAGTAGACATTTGGACTTGGTCTGAAGCCTGGGCTTTGAGATCATTCCCCCTTGCAGGGTCACAGAGCCCAAACTCCAGCCGTAACCCAAACACCTGCGCTGTAGTTTTATAGTTCCTCAGCCCAAGCTCTGCAAGCCTATATTAGCTACCCCAGACTTAAAATTTAGTGCCACGGGTTTTTCATTGTACTGTGGACATACTCTTAGAAACTATTTGAAACTTGTTAAAAGACTTCCACTGGCTATGCCTCACACTCAGTCAGTAAAGAAAAATTGTTTCAAGGGTTAACAAAGAAAACTCATTCCCAGATATAAAAAAATATTTTATATATCCTTTTAGCCATTACATCTTACAAGCCTTAGGCCTAAATTTAGGCACTTAAATCTACATGAAAGCACAAATAAATGGCCTGAGCTTCAGAAGTGCTGAGCACAAACACACTTGCTTCTAATTTAGGTGCCTAACTATGGAAAAATATGTCTAACCTGAGGCAATCAAATTTGCCTTAGTGCATAATGTGGACTGATCACTTTGCAAATTAATAATAATAATAGTAACAAGAAAACAAATCATACAGATTGTGTAACAGCTACTCTGCATGGACAAAAGGTTTTGTTTTATAACCTAAAATATGTTTGCTTATCTGTATCAATCTAATTGCTCTGTCCGGTAAACTGACATGACATAAACTCTGGTAAAGATCTTAATAATGTTGAGTCATTGATCGGGCTACTCTGTGAAAAGGTTAAATATTCTGTGATACAGTGCTGGAAGGTTCTGTCACAGATCAGTGGTTCACAGCTTCAGTGGTTCTCTCTGAAGTTTTATGAAACTCTGTTAATATAACACTTTAAGCAAAATTCAGTGCATTAGAAACACTGTGCAAAGACTTGAAATGGAGCTGCCAAGATGTATAGGGGTTTGTGGTTAGGGGAAGGCTCCTGCGTCAGAGGTGACCTTTATGTGGTAATGTTTAAAAAAGAAATAAAAAGAACTTTTATTAAAATGACTCTAGTGTTCTGAAAAACTGACAAGAATAAGAATATTCAGATTTAAATATGAATAAAAAATGTCCACACACACACGCCAAATTTATTTAAGATCCCAAATTGATAACAAATCATAACTCAGTGGACAGAGTTTCTAAAGGTTGGTACCGACAACAAATTAAACATGTGAAAGAGTTAATTGCACTTGTAATGCCTGAGTTTATCCAGTTACCCATTTTGCTTGGTTGCTAGGCATCCACTTAAAAGGAATGGATCTAACATAGTTATCAGCGTCACAAATTGCATCCTCCTATTATACATAAATATAGTTGTAAGCAAAGTAGTTGATAACCATTACCTCATTTATTTATTTGCTAGGATGTTAGTTCAGAATTCTGCATTTCCACTGCTACAGTCAATGGTACTAATCCCTGAGGCTATGTCTAGACTACGCTCTATTTTCGAAAGAGGATATGCAAATTCCGATCTTGCTTTCAAAAATGAAAGTAGTCTAGACATGGGGTTTTTTTCAGAAAAAATCTCTATTTCAAAAAACCTCTCTTCCTTAATTAAAAAATGAGGTTTATGCAGTTTTTTTGAAAAAGGGGTTTTTTCCTGATAAAGCACGTCCAGACTATTTTCACTTTTGAAAACTCCGCTTTCAAAAATAGAGCATAATTTAGACATACCTTGAGTGTGGCACCTTGCCTTGCTTTAGGCACCACTGTTGTCATCACCTTTAGCAAAAGAAATGTGGAATTCTGAGCTCAGGTGATAAGTAGTTCACCTCTAAAAGATTATTTCTATTCTTAACACAAGTGCCTGGTAAGTAATTTAATGTGCTCTTCTCTGTCCTACCACAACTGGCAATGCTAAGAATAGTGGTAACACATCATGTACATATAATAATACTTTCCTGTATAAAAAAATGGTGTTGAAGGTTATTTAGTTAAATGCTCTGAAATCCTCAAATGAAAAGTGCTATATAAATACAAAGGTAGCGCATTGTTTGTTATTAACAAGACTGAGTTTTCTCGTTGTTGTTGATTTAGAAAACATTTTGACATTAGTTTAAATCCTTAATGATAGTAATTCCAGTGATTTCAATGAATAACATAACATGGAAACACAATTCCTGTCTGATAAAAAATAACGTTCCTAAATGTTAATTTACTTAGGCAGTATATTTTGTTCATTCATATCCTGAAAAGATAGCAGTCTATATCTTCCTTGATGTATCTTATTGAAATCAATGGAATTGCACCAGAAATACATTTTGCTTGTTGATTCTAGATAACATTCTTAAATATGATGTGCCATGCTTATTAAAAAGTCACACTCCTTTTACTGAAGATTGAAAGCAATTCATGACTATCCTACACATTTTGTAAATTTCCTACAAATAGTTTTCATGGAGGCTATTCTTAATTCTCTATTAAAAATAAATATACATTTATTCATAAAGCCAGACAATACTACTTATACCTTAAAATGAAGATGTGTTATTGGGGAAGGTCTGGTTTGTGCACTTGACTGGCAACCACAGTTCAGTTCACGCCTTTGCAGTGGTTTCAAGTTGTTGTGTAGTTACCAGACTCTCTGATGGTGTAAAGAGGAAAGGCCCCACAACTGATTGTAGTGCTTTGTGCCTTTTCTCTGCTGCACAGACAGTGGAAGCAGGAAGAAGGCAATGCTCTTGAAATGTCACTCTTTTTTATAAAGGGGACTGGTTGACTGATTGTACTCAGTTAATTGCTGCCTCCAGCAGATGGAGACAGCTCTCTTGGCTGGCCAACCCTGCTTTTTCTGGTCCTCTTTTCTCAGAGTAGGACATGGCAAGAAATCATTTTTCTTTTTCTGAACATTCAGCCCTCCCTCCACACCTCCAAACCACTTCTCCTCACATCTTTTCCTTTTTGTCAGTGTGTATGTTAGTTTAGTGGTGAGTACTTTTTGCGGGGAGGCAGTTCACTAGCTCCAGTGTTTCAAATATACAATAGGAAACGGAAAACCATGAGATTTTCCTTGTGTAAAAATGAATCCAGGCTGGCTAACTTGCTTTCGGACTTTCCTGACATTTGGAATTAATATTGAAATCATATATTTGTATCTGAAAATAATGTTACTTATTCAAAGTGACTTCAGATTACTTTTGGTCTCAAGTTAGCTAGGACAAAATCAGTTTCTTTAATCTTCCTCTGCTTGCTTTGCCCTCATTTCCACAGCTGCTATGATCAGTTGGTCTAGCATTGTCA